TTGCAGACATGTGAACAGATTAAGATGCCTTCAGGTAATCAAGACTGTCATGGTGTATGTGAATCTACTTTTCCTAAGGCCCAGGACAAGTTGTAGTTCCCAATAGTTTACATTTTTCAACTCAAGATGCCAAAGCATTCAAGTGTTTAACTTCAATTTCCATTTTTGCAGATTCCATTCCAAGTGATGTACCTCAAATCTTGATCAACCGAGAACCACTCTCCCATGTATCTTTTGATGTGGAATTGCTGGGAGACTGTGATGTAATTATTAATGAACTGTGTCACAAATTAGGAGATGGCTGGAATCATCTTTGCACAACTGAGAAAGCACAATCGGAAACTAAAGACCTTCCAAAGCTTTATGCAACGCTGCCTACTCCTCCATATCTGCCGAGTCTGTTAGCAGACATTGAGGGCAAGGATATGAATGATAAGAAACAAACTGAAACTGAACAAGAGCAGCGGAAGTTACCATCCAGCACAGATTTGATAAGGTCTGATAACTCTGATAACGATTGCAAGGATTCCTCAAAGTCTGTTATCTCAACTGATAGTGCGGTAGTTTTGACTGATCCAGAAGATGAAGCCCCAGCTGACAGTGCAGTAGTTGATCGCAGCCGGTCTGCGCTGAGTGATAACATTGATAATAGCTCCCTCAAGTCCAGTGAAGTAGATTCTATCGATACATGTATGTTGACCAGATCTGAAGACAGCGGCATGTTCGACTCTCCACAGTGCGTCAACAGCGAAGTGTCTGATACAGCACAAGAAGAAAAAACGAGTGATTATTTGAAAAATGAGAAGATATCCAACAATTCGGTTGCTGTAACAGATAATCATCGACCAGAAGTAGATGAAGAAAATAGCATGCCGAGTACTGAAAGTCAATCTAGTTCATGGTATCAGTACAGTATTGCACAGTACTTGACCAGTAAGTCTGATTTTGACAATCTTGTCTGTGAAATTATACTTATTATGTTAATTAACATTGAATAGATATTGTAATTTTTGTCACTACAAATGTTCGGTATATCTGATTTCATCAAAAAGGCAAAAGTTTCTTGTGGCAAACAAACTTTTAGAACTTACAGCAATTGCCTAGAACTTTGCTAAATTATTATTATTTGCTAAATTATTACTGGCTGCCATTCAAACTAAATTGTATAAATTTTCCAAAATCCTAAAATTGAGTTTAAGGGAAATCACAAAAGTCATTTTGTGTTGTATTGTTTTGGGACAAATAAGTATCATGGCCAGCAGATTGTTGTTGCTCATTTGAGAGAATCAAATAGAAGTTGTAGAGGTGGTTAATTTTCATTACTCGTTAAAGGAGGGATTTAAAGAGCTTTCAGGGGCTCAAGTTATGTGGCCAGTGTCAAGCAATCTGAACAATTTCTTGTTTATATATTTCAGAAAACACCTATCTTCATATACCTCCCAATCGATACGTCTTCAGTGGAGCCGAAGTGTATCCTGATGACTGTGAGGAATATGATTATGACTACATTCCCTCAGAGAACGACAGTAGTTACAGTGAAAACACTGACCAGAATGAACAAAGTGCAAATACCAGTTACAGCTCAGAAATATCTGTAAATGTAGAAGAGGTGTCTAAAAACAAAAACATTGAAACAACAGACAATCAAATATTGAAAAATAATGGTTTTAACCCATCTGCAAAAGAATGTAGAAAGGACTGTGTGTAGATGCGTGCATGGAAAATAATAAATTTATAAAAATAAAAAAATTTATGGAGGGGCATATGTAATATAAAAGATGCTACTTACATCCGGAAAATATCCAGTCACAGATGTAGTAGAAAATATATACATTATATATATATATATATATATATATATATTATTATACATATATTTTAAATCTCTTTATCAATATTGGTATTGTGAGTGAAAAAGTAAGAACTGTGCCGCAATACAACAGTAACTTGTATATCGGTAACTGTTTAATATTGTCTGTGGGATTAAAAAAAACTTGTATATTTAAGCAGAAAAAAAGTACACTTATTTTAGACCATTTCAACTTCAAATGTGTAATATATCCCGGTGTGTAGTAGATATGATTGCCTCTTAGGGTTTCTATAGAGATAATTGCTATGGCATCATCTTAGAAATTTATCACGGATATTGAGAATACATGTGCTTATATTTTTGAAATTTTATTGGTTAGTTTATACCCTTCATTTTGTCAGAACCAATCTTCCAAACGCCTGTTTTGCTAATAATTGTAAATAACTTTTTTTATTACCTGTCTGTCTGTCAGTAGAAATAGTTTAACTTCTATGGTAGTATTGCGTTTACCCGTTTCGTCGTCTTACAAAACGTTAAAAAACAACTATTAAATTTTCTTTAACTGCCATGTTGTCTTGCACTTCTTTGTAGAAAACTTTATACATTATAAATTTTGTACATCCTCTGCCAAGCAAAAAATTGGAAACCATGTTACCATGTTATATTATATATAACTATAAAGATGGTATTTAAATTTCATATTATTATTGAATAAAGGTTTATTATGTTTCATCAATCACATTCATAATTGTAATGTAAGCTTCCCTTCTACAGAAATGCGTATAAGCCCAAATTGTTATTTTGTCCTTGGGAGCTGTTTTGCTACTTTACAGAATATTGATAAAATATTGCATAAAAGTGCACCTATCCTATCAATTGCACCCTCTTTCATTGATGTCAAAATGATGTACATAAAAAGGTAAGGCGAGTAAATAACACTGAATGAGCGGTATGGTAAATAAAAGTAAACGTGTACTGCATGTGCCACTCAAACTGACCTAGACTATAAAAGTTTACATAAAATGGAGTTTGAATCAACTGATTGGCAATGTGATTGTTCAGCATTTAGAATATATTTTTTTTATTGGCACACATCTGAAATTTGCATACATGTTATGTGAAATCATTGAAATGAGTTTCACTTTGAATAATGTTTCACTTTGACCACAGACTTGCTTTTGTCATTTACATAAGCACACGCGCTTTGAATTCAAAAACACAATTTGTATTGATGGACAACCAAAACAATACCAACACACAGAATTGCTCTGTTACCAGTGAGACAACTTGTACATGATAATGTTTTGAGTGCTCGCAATGTAGCATTATGTACAATTCTCATTCAATGTACGGAGATTCCTTTTAATTGCGATGTTGCCTCTAGATCTGACTAAATGACCATGTAAGTTGTGTTCAGGCAGTTCCTCTGACAAAATTTATTGACCAACTAATGAAATTAGTGATATTTTCAATGCCCACAAACATTAACATTTTCCTACACTGTGAAATGGTTGTGTTTTTTCTAGTTCATATATAATGTATTAGCTCTATTAGTAGTGTATTCGCTTACCGAAATTACATAGGTATTTCTATGGTCAAAATAGGTAATATTTTAAAGCAAGAGAGTCATCACCTGCGTATGCGCGAGAATTGAGTCCCAATCGACGATAACAACACATTCTAAAAATGCAGACTCGTGGATAGACGCTTGTTTGTAAACAATGACACGCTATGACCATCTGACGCATCGCAGGTGACGACTCCCCCGCTTTAATGGTATAGTATATAATAAATTTGCAGTAATTCAATAGCAGTATTTTTACGGTAATTGGCACATGCAATGGGAATCCTGTAAAATAAAATCAAAAACATCTGACTATTGCAGGTTGTTTTGATTTATTTAAATTGTTAACCAGAAAAAAAATTAGAAAACTGAACCCAACGCAAGTGCTGAGCGTGCTTTTTGCTCTAAAAAATTGAAAAAGATTTTTTATTATAAGAGGCCACCCATTTGAAATCATGGGGAGGCTGGAAAACTTGTTGAAATAAATTACCCAGAGAAAAAAAAATTGCATGCAAGAAGCTGCATGAGAAATTGTTGACAAAATTGAAAAACAAATGTACAGACAAGACACTGATCACACTTGTATACCCCCCCCCCATGATTTCATATGTTTGATCCCTTACTATGTAGAATAAATAAGGTACCTTAATAACCAAGCATTTTATTGTCCAATTGAATATAAGCGAAAACTATTTGCTTTGGAAATGGGGGTCTCAAATTTAGATTGTGGTTTGATCTTCAAAATACAAGAAAATCGTTAAATAAATATGTTGCCACTGAGGGCGTACAACCACTACTTGACCTTTCACCAAGCATAATCAGGTGACCATCAGTTATTCCGTTCACCCGCGGATTTGTGTGTGTGTATAAGATCGTGTGATGAATGTAAATATATGGGACTTGTCACATGTCAGCTGTTTTCGTTCTTCAACGTAGCTATTTTAATGACTACGGTTAAAAATGAGTGTCCGATTGTCGTCCATTCTGCGGTGGAACTATACAAATCGCGCACTGCCTTTTCTAGGATGTCGCCACAGTCGATGTCACCAAGTCGAACTCAGGAGCCTCCGAGATGATCTGAGATCAGTGAGTGTGCGAGGTTACTGTGCAGTCCCCAAGGAAAGACCTCCTATTCCTAAATCAGCTCGTGTTGTTGTTTGTGGTGGCGGAATATCTGGATGCTCTGTCGCTTATCATCTTGCCCAGCTTGGCTGGACTGATGTGGTGGTGCTGGAGAGGGCCAGGTATGGTAAATCGTGTATGTTTTCGTCAAAAGTGTGACCATATTCCACCGTGACA